CGGGCCTCACCAAGCCACTTGGAAAGCGCGACTCAGACTCTCATGTCACGGTGACAGGCGTTCCCCTGGACCCCGTGGTTACTTCCTGCTGTTGCTCCAGGATTTGTGCTGAGAATATTTCATCACCTGAGGGAGTTTCAACACTTTGCAGCTCTGATCTGGGTTGCGGGCTGAGCTGCTGATCAGCAGAGAAGCTGGTGTTGGTGCTGACCTTGCTCTCTTTGCGTCTTCAGATGTCAGCCAACCCTCCTCTCCATCCCGAAGCGGGCGTGTGGATGGCTCCGGCGGGAACGTGCAGCTAGGACAGCCCACCCCTCAACTTTTAGCCCCTCACCTGGAGGCTGTGACCAGTCTCGCCTCTAAGGCTTGCTCCCCGTCACGGGGGTTGCTCCCTGGGACCCGCTCTGTTGGGAAGCTCGCGGGCCCCTTGGTCTGGAACCCATCTCCTCCCTCCGGTTTCTCGCACAGAACCCTGACGGGCGGGCGTCTTTCCCCTGCCTTCCTGTCGTCACACCTACAGAGGGGTCCCCAGCGTGCCCTCCTGAAAGCAAGCCGAGGGGTTGGGGACCTGTCCCCACCCCAGTTAGAGGCGGGGGAGGGTTACTTGTAGACCCTCTGGGGGCGGGGGGTGGTTATTCATCCATCCAGAGTGCCAAGCACCGCGCTCCCCTCACTAAACAAGACAGAACCGCTCTCGTGGGGTTTGCATTTCAGCTGGGGAGGGAGCCAGTAAACAAGCCGGGAGGGGGGGGATCAATGCGGGGCAGAAAGCGCAGCTGGCTGGGCCATCAGAGGGGGAAGCGGAGGCCCTGGACGCGCGGGGAGTGAGTGAGCCTCGCTGCCTCCGCCGTGGAAACGGCTACGTCGTGGCGCCCAGGGCCCCGCTCAGCTGCCCACGGTGGGTGCTCAGAACCCGCTCGTCTCCATCCCTGTCTATCCCAGAGAGCTGGCGTCAGCGCTGACCACAGCAGTGACACACACGGCTGACTGCTGACCCGCCATGCAGATTAAGTCTCCGCATTCAGACTGGAGCTCTCTGAGTATGGGGGCCATGCCTTCCCCACGGCGCATGTAAGGCGGAGGCTGCACCCCCCAGCGGAGGGGTCCCACCTCCCAACCC